TTGATTTGCTTAATCCTTGGAAGAATCTAGCCAAGAGATAAATTTATGTGAAACATCTTGGGCTTCATAAAGTATTTTCACATGACCTGGCTGGTACTGTGACAGCCAGTCAGGAGGGACCATGACCTGAAACCAGACGAAGGCAGAGACATCTGGCAGATGCCAGCAAGCAATCAAGTCTCTGAAGGTCAACTGAGGCCAGAAGGATTGACTGTGATGGGACATTAGTCAGCAACATTCAGGCTCTTGGGATATTCCAGAGTCATCGAATGTGTACTAATGAGGATGATTGAACTCCATGGCAGCTGTTTCTCTATTATGTGTGGGAAAATCCTGGCATTATTTGTATTCACTCTTAACACAAGACACATGGAGTCAGAGTGGGATTTATTTATTTATTTATTTATTTATTATTATTTTTAATGTTTATGTATTTTTGAGGAAGAGAGGGAGACAGAGTGTGAGCAGGGGAGGGGCAGAGACAGAGAGAGGGAGACAAAGAATCTGAAGCAGGTTCCAGGCTCTGAGCTGTTAGCACAAAGCCCAATGTGGGCCTTGAACTCACAGACTGCGAGATCATGACCTGAGTTAAAGTCAGATGCTTAACTGACTGAGCCACCCAGGTGCCCTGAGTCAGAGTGGAAATTTAACCCCTTAATAAAGCAGGACAATGTTACCTCATTTTTGCTATTAAATCTTATATATTTTTTCCTTTTCTCAATATGCTAATGTTTTAAAAAGATAAATGCCTAGTAGATTTCAATGGTTTTCCCAAATAAATATTTGGATCTTTACCTTCCCATGCTCTCCTTCCTGCCTTTCTTCTATATTCCATTCTTTCTTTTTTCTTTGTTATTCCTCTCCTCCTCCATTCTTTATTCTTGCTCTGTCTTTTGTATTAATATACTAAACAGCTTGAAAGGTGGATTTTATTTATATATTTTTGAGTTTAAGAACCCAGCACTTTAATATGGTATATGTTAAAATTAATTTAAGTTTCCTGTAAAAAATGTAGTGAGGGGGCCTGGTTGGTTCAGTCATTTGGGTGTTGGACTCTTGATTTCAGCTCAGGTCATGATCTTGCTGTTGGTGAGTTCAAGCCCCATGTGGGGCTCTGTGCTGACAGCTCCAGGCCTACTTGGGATTCTGTCTCCCTCTCTCTCTGTCCCTCCCCTGCTCACTCTCTTTCTCTCAAAATAAATAACAGTAAATTAAAAAAAAAATTCTTTTAATGTAGTGGATACTGAGAGACTATATGGTATGTTCATTGGACTGACATTCTGGAAATTTAAGGAAATCCCTTTGATGCTCAGTTCTCTCAAAATTAAAACATCAACTGAATTCATACAGCAGTCCTAACAAACCAGGACTGCAAAGAGACAAAACAGATGAACATAAGGGAAGGCAAACAAAAATAATATAAAAACAGAGAGGGGGACAAAACAGAAGAGACTCAGAAATATGGAGAACAAACCGAGCATTGCTGGAGGGCTTGTGGGAGGGGGGATGGGCTAAATGGGTAAGGGGCATTAAGGAATCTACTCCTGAAATCATTGTTGCACTATATGCTAACTAATTTGGATGTAAATTAAAAAAAAACAAAAAACAAAAAACAAAAACCACATCAACTGAGTTCATACAGCAGTCCTAACAAACCAGGACAGCAAAACATGGTATCATTCTAACATTTGTTTAGAATTGTGAACTAAGTATAGGGGCACCTGGTGCTTAGTTGGTTGAGCGAGTGACTCTTGATTTTGGCTCAGGTCATGATCTCATGGTTCATGAGTGTGAGCCCTGTATTGGGCTCTGTGCTAACAGCGTGGAGCCTGCTTCAGATCCTCTGTCTCCCTCTCTCTCTGCCCACCTCCTGCACTCTCTCTCTCTCTCAAAATAAAAATAAACATTAAAACAAAAGAACTAAGTTGTACACCTGAAACTAACGTTACTGTGTAAGCTGTACTCAAATTAAAAAAAAAGTTAATTAGCTTCACTGTGACAATCATTTTCACAATGTACGCATATATCAAAATATCACATTGTACAACTTGTCAATTATACCTCAATAAAGCTGGGAACCTCCCCCATGCACCCCTTCCAAAGAAAATCAGTGCATATGAGATACTTAGATGATAAATGTGTATGCTCCAGTAAGTTTTCATGTTGATGATGATGATGATGCTTACTTAGAGCCTCCAAAACTTATCAAAGTCAAAGAAGAAAGTTTTTAATGTTAATAGTTCTATATATATTTACCTTATCAATACAATTTATTTTAAAAACGTGGATTAGGTATAATTTGTGTAAGTGAAACATGATGACAAAATTCTTTCTTATAACCATTTATTATTGTGTACTTATTTTCTTTAAAATTGGCTGGAATTTGACTTATAAAGTAGTAAACGAGCATGTAAATGCTGTTAAAATTTAATATCTATGTTGCTGAAATATGAAATGTTTCAAAGTTTGAATTTAATGACCAGTGTTCTTCATAGTGATTGTCCCATACATCAATCATGATTTATATTTTCCCTTTTGTGAATTCATCTACATTTTTCATACAATTAACTTCAGGCCCACTGAGATAATCTGCACTTCAGCTATCTACTTGCAAACAGATCCTTGCTGTTCAACACTGTTAAAGAAACCATCTCTGCTCTGTTGTAATTATCCTGTCCAAAATAAGTACGCTTCCCTTTTTCCTTTTTTTTTTCCTTATGTCCTAAGGTATCCACTGTCATTGGGCCTCCTGCCCCTTCTCCAGTGCTCAGAGGAATCAAAGACCGTGGTGCTGATTGACTTGTGCTTTTTCTGTCCATCTGAGACAGCAACGGAAAAGTAAAGCCAAACCAAAACCTGGAAGAGTGGCAGCTTTGCTGGGCCTGGACCAGGAATGTTGCCACTTTACGCCAGGAACAGCAGGGTTCTTTAAGGGCTTTCTTGTCTTTTCAAGCAACCTTAGGGAAGCTGTCATCCTCGGCCATTTCTGTCCATATATTTATAGGCATGCATTTTCTTGAGAAGAAAGAGTTAACCTTTGAGAAACATCTTTTTATAAATTGCTCTGTCTGCTGGGTCAGTTCTTAAAACATTTTCATTCCTGGTACATGAAAGTAAAGGACAAAACTCTTAACATGCAATTCTCTCTCTTTTTTTTAAAGCTGGAATTCTCATGTCGTGAGTGCAGTAAATTACTGATGTTAAGAAATTAAAACAAAAAGAAACGTCATGTGAATTAATGTTCTATCAAGAAAGAATGTTGTCTTTGCTACTGATCAATAAAGACCATGTTAATATTGTGTGGGTATACACATATACTAAATAAGAAAATAAAATTTTAGATTTAACTGCAACAGTACAGGAAGTATTTCAAATTTTTAGATAAAGATGTTAGAGAATATACTTGAAATAAACGTAATACAATAATAATAACAAATCTTTAACAAATTAAGGTTTTAACATATTAGGATTTTTAGCTTCAAATTCAATTTACTATGTTGAGAAAGATTTGAGAATCTTATTCATTTGATTATTCTTCCTGAAGTTTATTTATATAAAATAAATGCTAAATATTGTCCCTAACAAACATATCCCTACTCTGACCATTATTTTTTTTCTTCGTTAAAGAATCTAGAAAAAAAGAATCTAGAAATCTATGGATAAATCTTTGTTTTATGTAAATTTGATGGTGTGCTTTTTGCTTTTTGCTTTGTTTTTTGTTTTTGGGGTTTTTTTTTTTTTGCACCTAATCTTCATTAGTTGAATTATCTTCCTTAAAGAATACCAAAATATATGGAACTCATGATAGATTTTTGGTTTGTCAACACAAAATGAACAAACCTTTTAAAAGAAGAGACAAGTTTTATTTGAGCCCAAGTGAGGACTGTTGCCCAGGATACACAATCTTCACAAAGAAGAGAGTACGCTCCAGGGAAGAAACATTTGGTGCAGGGCTATATATGTTTTTTTTTTTTTTTTAAACATAAAGAGTTACAAATTATCATGATGAAGGACATTTCAGAAAGTTACAGACTTCATCTTGTTTTTAGTATGTGCAAGGCTCTATTACTTTAATCTTATGGGAACCAGGGAGTTTTTTGGTTTTGTTTTTTTCTTTTTCTTATCTTTATGTATGGAATGCTCCTTTTGGGTTATTTAGTTATTTATTTTAACAGAACAGATGTGCAACGTGTGCTTGGGGCAGAAATAGAACCCATGCTTTGAGGCTTTGTAGAGTAATTTTGAGCTTGGTAAATGCGAACGGATAGCTTCCCAGGGAGCCCAGAAGCAGGCCCACAAAGGGAAATGTTGAAAATTTCCTGTATTTTATCAGCTTGTCATGAAGCTAAATTAATATTTTCTAACACCCTTTATATCTATCAAATGACAAAGTGGCGACTCCTAACAGTGTTGTTCCATTGTCCATCTGTGCCCACCAATCCTGCCCCTTTGGCTTCTAAGATTCTCATTAGCACTATTTCTATTATTCCTTTATTTTCTTTTTCTGTGTTATTTATTTTTTTAAGTTTATTTATTTTGAGAGAGAGAGAGAGAGCATGCATAAGAGTGGGGGAGGGTCAGAGAGACAGAGACGGAGACACAGAATCCCACAAAGGCTCCGGGCCTCCAGCCCAGAGTCCAGTGCAGGGCTGAAACTCAGGAACTGTGAGATCATGACCTGAGATGTGATCAAGAGTCAGATGCTTAACTGACTGAGCCACCCAGGTGCCTCCCCCTCCCCCTCTTTTGTTTTTGCAATTTATTTAAATTCAAGTTAGTTAACATAGAGTATAGTATTGGTTTCAGGAATAGAATCCAGTGATTCATCACTTACATACAACACTTACATACAACACTTACATACAACATCACTTACAAACAAGTGCCCCCCTCCCCCCAGCAAACTTTGTTCTCTGTATTTAAGAGTCCGTTATGGTTTGCCACCCTCTCTGTTTTTATCTTCTTTTTCCTACATTTATCTGTTTATTTATTCTGTTTATTTTTTTATTCTGTTCACAAGAGTTTCTTCACAGTGGCAGAAGCCTTGGTGGCTTTTAATAGCCTAACTTGCGCTTAGATTTTGATGGAATTTCTTGTCGTAATTCATTTCCCCAAGGCCCCCCGTGGTTTAAGCTGTGGATTTACCTCCAGGCTTCTGAGTCCCCTAACACTAACATCTTGCTTTCTTGGACTGAGGCTTAGCCACGATTTTCCCATATTGAAACTACCCTCTTTAATTCCACCAGACTTACTGTTTCTGGCTGCCAGGGCACTGTTCCTGGGCCCCTCAAGGCCCCCCTGAGATGCTACCTTGCTGATGGGGTGGGCCGCAAACACACGCGTTCAGGCCCACTAAGCCTCACTGGAAACACCTGGAGACTCTCCCGCCCCAGGTTTCCACCTGGAAGGAGTTAAGATAAATTCCAAGAAGGCGGAATCCAGCTGGAAGAAGTTAAGATAAATTCCAAGAAGGCGGAAGGCAAAAGGAGCTGCGCGCCTTCTCGGCGAGACTGCGGGGAGGCCGGGGCCCTTCCTGAATCTTCAGCAGCGGCCTCCAGTGCCATCTTGTCGCCAGCACTGCCAGGTGACGAAACAGGCAAGTCAGTAACGAGTTTGATGTCCCTTTATTCAGGGAAAACAGCCCCCGGATTGGGTGGGGGAGCGGGCGGATGTGGTACCTTCCACACCGCGGCGCACTCTCCCCCAGGGATTTGGGGGCAAGCTTGGGGTTGGTTTCTAGAGTCTTAGAAGAGGCAAGGCGGAGACAGGGCATGGAGGTCAGGGATTTCCCTACAAGGCCGGCTGGCCGTGTTTTCTAGCGTCAGGTAATCTCGCGAGCTCTGAGCTGGAGAACGGTGATTGACGCGTGTTAGCTCTCCTGACACACGTTTGTTTGCGGGGGCCGCTGACTGGAGTTTAGATTTGTGACGTGAGCCAGGCCCCTGGCAAGGCCTCCATTTCGTGGGTCCTGATTGGTGAGTTAACTTGACCCTATCTGATATTTGAAATGTTATTTCCATGCCTTGCTTTCTGTTGTCTGGGAGGAGAAGCGTTTCCTCCACCCTCTTAGGTTGGGGAGTGTGGGCCTGCGAATTAAACTGAGGGAGGACATTAAAAAAATAAATAAATAAATAAAACGAGGGGCACCTGGGTAGCTCCGTCAGTTAAGCGCCTGACTTCAGCTCAGGTCATGATCTCACAGTTCCTGAATCCGAGCCCTGCTTCAGGTTCTGTGTCTCCCTCTCTCTCTCTCTGCCCGTTTCTTTAGGAAAGGTAATGGGTTTTTAGAAGAACAACGGGAGCTAAACTTTGTGGTGATGTTTGTTTGTGTAGGTGCAACTGGTCTCCACCCCTGCCCCCAGATTGCTGTTAGGTTTACCCTTGGTTTGTCTCCTAGCAGTAATTCATGGCAGCTGCATTTTCTAGAAGTGGCTCCTTCTGTTCAGATAAGGGAAGCTCTGAAAGGCTTCTTTCTGCATGTGTTGAATCTCCAATGTCTTCACCTTAAAACATTGTCCTATTGACTCCGGGGTTCCGAGTGGGTCCCCATACTGAAGTTTCTAATTCCATTTTTAGATTTCATTGTAGCAATATCACTAGCTGTATTGAGTATAAAATAAAATTTGAAAACACGAATGAAAACAAAACAAAAAACCTACAGGAACCTGCAAGTTTATGGCAGAGACTGAACTTTTGCGTGATCAGTAGCAATTGTTTTGGTGACATAATTTATAACTTTCTATTTCCATCGGGTATGAAATTGCACATTGCCTTTAAATTCCATCCTAGATACAGTGAAGTAGAGAAGGGATCTCGAAGTGATTTTTTTTTAATACATCAAACGGAGCACAATTAATAAATGGCCTCCTGGGGATTTTGCACAGTATCCTAAAGGAATCAACTTTTTTCACTCTGCTGATGACCTGCTGTGTTGTAGCTGTAGAAAAATTCCATATGAAGAGCAAATACTATGAGAATAATTTTAGTCTTTTTAACTATGACCATGTTTATATTCTGCCTTCACACATCCAATTCTGTTATCTCACTGCTTCTGGGCACACATCCAGAAAGGTTCATCTCCTTTTTTTTCTGAAAATTAGGGAAGTGAAATATACACATTTTTGGTAAAAATATACTGAATTGGGAAATTTTAAATTTTCTGTTAGAAATATCACAGTAGATAATGGCAACCATTCCATCCAATCAAGGTGGCCTTAGAGGGTGTCTAGAATAGATTCTTCTGGGAATCAGTGCTGTGAAAGCAGACTGCCCAAACCACTGCTCTGAAGTTACACAATAGTTTCACTTGAATTTATAATTTTCTGCCAGAAAATGGTCCTTCAAAGACAGGCAGATTTTAAAATTCTAGTTCAGAAAAAGATATATTATTTCACTTGAAAGGCCTTAAATCCACTTGAAAGACAAGAATGTAACAATGTGTGTAAGTCTAAATGGAAATTGTAAAATTAATTCATTGTTAGAAATTGATGGAAATTTTGGGTCTCTTCCTCTGTGGTTGAGTTTAAAATAGGGAAGTCTATGTAAGACAGCTTTTTTCCAAGGTTCTTTATTGACCCGCCCTCCGGAATCTTGGCAATTAGGTCTTTAATTTTGCCCTCTTAGGGACCCTTTCTTTCTTCCACACATGTAATATATACATGTTGCCTTGAGTTGTTATTTTGTCTTTAAATATATGCAAAATACTTGATGCCGTAAAAGATGAGGATGATTGGGGCGCCTCCGTGGCTCGGTCAGTTGAGCGTCCAACTTTGGCTCAGGTCATGCTCTCACAGTTTGGGGGTTCGAGCCCTGCGTCCGGCTCTGTGACAGCTCGGACCCTTGAGCTGCTTCGGATTCTGTGTCTCCCTCTCTCTCTGCCCCTAACCCATTTGCATTCTGTCTCTGTCTCAAAAATAAATAAACATTAAAAAAACATTTAAAAGATGAGCATGATATCTTACATTGTTTTATGTTCCTAGTGTCTAGTGAAGTAAACTCTTCCACGTGTGTTTTTGTATTCATGATTCTGAATATGAGGGTGCAAGCATCTTATTTTGGGAATCAGGGAGTATCCTTTAGAATTATATAACCTATATCCACTTGAATCACTATTTGTCAAATAATATTAATTTAGCAAAAAATGTTTATTCTGCAACAAATGAGGGAATGAGTTATATTTTAAATTTGAAAGCATTATTCCTTAAAGACCATCTTTATTTATTTTTAAATATAATTTTTTTAGGTTATTTATTTTTTGAGAAAAAGAGAGTGTGCACAAGTGGGCAGCAGGAGAGGCAGAGAGAGACACAGAATCAGTGTAGAGCCCAATGTGGGGCTCGAACCCATGAACTGTGCGTCATGACCTGAGCCGAAATCAAGAGGCAGATGCTTGACTGACTGAGCCACCAGGCACCCCAAGACCATCTTTATTTAATCTTTCTATATCAAACATATTTTTTAAGAAATGGTGAGCACAAGACTAATTGCCTAGCCCAGTAACAGTGTCGTTACAAAGGTTAGTTGTAAGCGGCCTTTTCATGCTTTTTGTGGTATTTCTCTAGCTGCTCCCGCGTCATGTCTTCCTCAGCTGGTTCCCCGGGGTCTGAAGCTGACCAAGGGATAGTTGAAATAAAGCAGCCAAAGCAGGGATGAGCAAGATTTGGCATGGCTTCAAGTTCCATCAATGTTGTGGTGGGAAGGAAAATAAAATCAAGGGTATTCAGATAAATGACAGGTGATTTGAACTCTCTGAAACCACCAGAACCATTCCATTACACTAGAATGTCGCATCAAGTGTGTTTTCATGGGTTACTATTTCTTGGGTATGTAAAAACGATGCAAATTGCCATTTTCAGTTTTATTTTTTAATCTAGGGTTTCTGTTGTTTAGTCTGTTCTTTACATTTCTAAAGGCCCTTCATTGGTTGAACATATTTGGACCCCTACAGAATGTAATCTTTTATTAAATTGTAACAAAATGTATGAAAGAGGAACACAAAGTCATCGTTATAGCAGTTGTTCAATTGGTTGATTGTCGCAAAGTTTCCATCCGTAAAAGGATGTCAGGGACTAGTGAAATTCCTCTGGAAGCAAATTGTGGCCACTGTTGCTTAAACTTTGAGCATACCAGTGGTTGGTTGGAGTTGCTTTTTTTGGGAGATATCCTCTTTAGCCATTATCTTTGTCTGTTTCTCCTTAAGAATGTCTTTGGCTTGTTCCTCAGAGTAGAATGCTTTCTATTGCTTTTCTCCCAATTATTTTTTAAAAACTGGAGGTATGTTTAGTTGACTAACTTATTCATTATCTTACCTCCACTGGATATTTCTTTCTGTAATTACACTTTGTAAGTGCTTGAGAACTTGGTAAAAGCAGTACATTTGGACAAGGTTGTCCAGTTTTTCCTATAATGTAGACAGTGATATCTGGAGTGACAGATTTGCTGGCATGTGATCCAGGAATCATTAAGTGCCACTTTCAAATCTTGTTATAGCACCTTTTCAGTTTGGGTTATTATTAACATTTGAAGCTCTGCTCCTGAGTGTCCGATAGCCTGGTCTCATAGGCAATAATCCCAACTCTACCCAAAAAGTCATAAGCTTAGCATGCACTCCAAGTTACTATTTAGTTCATTCAGTTTTCAAGCAGTAGACCATTTACCCAAAGGAGCCCAGATAATTAGCAGCGAGTCTTCTACCCTTTACTGGTGGTAGTTTCTACACTCTTTTTTTGTTGTTGTTCTTGTTTTAATGTTTGTTTAGTATTGAGAGCAAGACAGAGACAGAGTGTGAGTGGGGGAGGGGCAGAGAGAGAGAGAGAGAGAGAGAGAGAATCCAGGGTAGGCTCCAGGCTCTGAGTTGTCAGCACAGAGCCCAATGCAGGGCTCAGTTTCAGGAACTGTGAGATCATGACCTGAGCCTGAGTCGGATGCTTAACTGACTGAGCCACCCAGGCGCCCCAGTTACTACACTTTTAAAATGGGAAAGTAAGCTCCATGTGAATGATTATGGGTGAGTCTAAGCAATAACATTTATGGAGAGCAAGAAGATTAACTGTAGATGTGTAATAAATTGTAGACATTACTACTTTTAAAATGTACCATGGGTTAATGTTAATACTCGTTGATCTTAATTGTTCAGTCTCTATGTTGACTTTTATGTTTCTTCTAGTTCTATTTGTGTGTTCTCTGAGATGAGTACAAAGAACAATACATATAAAATTGATGTCTGGCTTATGTTCATTTTATTTATTTGACAAACATAAATATTACCAGCATTACCAAATGTTACCAACAAAAATTATATTCTAAATAATTTTAAAATAATAATTCATTGAGGCACCTGGGTGGCTCAGTCAGTTAAGCGTCTTGACTATTAATTTCAGCTCAGGTCATGATCTCACGATTCATGGGTTTGAGCCCTGAGTTGGGCTCCGCAGTGGCAGTACTGAGCCTGCTTGGGATCCTCTCTCTCTCTCTCCCTCTCTCTTTGCCCCTCCCCTGCTCTCTCTCTTTCAAAATAAATAAACTTAAAAAATATTAATTACTTGAATCAAACTAACAGTATGAAAGCTGAGTATTGTTATTATTCCCATGACATACATAAAAATGAAAAAAAATGCTTATTTATTTATTTTGAGAGATAGCAAGTGAGCTGGGGAGAGGCAGAGAGAAAGGGGGAGAGAGAGAGAGAGAGAGAGAAAGAGAAAGAATATCCCAAGCAGGCTCCACACTGTCAGCACAGAACCCGGTGTGGTGCTCAAACTCCTGAACCGTGAGATCATGACCTGAACCAAAACCAAGATTTGGACACTTAACGACCGAGTCACCCAGGTGCCCTTAAAAATGAAAATCTTACATAAGGTCACAGAGCTAGACATCAGGGGAGAGGTTTTGAAAGTGTTCAGTCAGCCGTTGGAGTCCTTGCCACTAACCAAGACATATGCTGCCTCCAGGTTGATTAATCATTTTTAGGTACCAA